CTTGTGGAACACCAGCGTTAATAGGCTTGTAGTCAGAGCATGCACCGTCTACAACGACCTTGATGCTCCGATCTGCAAGGAAGCTGATGATCCAATTGCACAATTTCTCGGGAAGCCCATAGGAAGGGAGTTTCGAAAGAAGCGCTTTGTGCCAAACCCGATCGAAGGCCTTCGCAATGTCCAGACTAACGGCCAACGCCTCCCCCTTGGACTCTACTGCCTCCGCCCATCTATGGGTCAGGTAGACCAGAAGATCACCATCTGATTGACCCCGACGAAAACCGTATTGGCGGTCACTAATCAGCTGGTGATCCTCAAGGTATCGGATGAGCTGGCAGTTAATAATGGATTCCATTATTTTGGAGAACAAGGAGGTGATCGCGATAGGCCTATAGTTGGATGGGTTTGAGCGGTCGCCTTTATTAGGGATCGGGTGGACAAAAGCTGTCTTCCATGAATTCGGGACTACGCCTTGGGAGTAAGAGTACCGGATAAGATGCGTTAGGGCCGGTGCCAACTCCGGAGCACACGTCCGCAGCAAAAGGTCGGCTTTTTCTTTTGCGTCATGGGCCAGTGAGTCATCCTCCCTGTGCAGAGATGGTAGTGATGGCTTACAGAAATTCCCTTGGACAGCCTTGGCGAGAGACCAGAATGCACGGGTTCCCGAAGGAAGGCGAACTAGTTTCTCGCCAATTCTGCCTATGTGCTCTGACTTTGCCTTGGCAATAACTCGTTTGAAGGACCTGGAGGCGAAGTTATACTTCTTTTTAAGTGTGCTGGTGTTTACATCCCGAGTCGCCGAAGCCGCAGCCCAGGCTTGATAACACTCCTGCTTACTGCGTAATGCAGTCTTACAGGAGCGACCAAACCAAGGCTGAGATCTGCCTCCGATGGGTACCACAGATGATGGAATAAATAGTTCCATTCCCTGTAACACCACATCAGTGACGGAGTCAGCAACAGCGCTGGGATCGTCCGGCGAGAAGCAAACCCGACCCCATGGGTAGGATGCAAAGAAAGACCGCATTCCGTCCCAATCCGCCGACCTGTAATGCCAAACACGGCGGCAACCTGCAGAACGCAACCGCGAAGGGAGCGTGAGTGGCACCACACTCCGGATCAGACAATGGTCCGAAGAGCCGAGAGGGGCATCGACGGAAACCTGATATCCGTCCGAATGAGAGGTCAGCAGAAGGTCCAACAAAGAAGGTGTATGATCCTCCACATCTGGAATCCGCGTAGGCGAAGTAACCAGTTGTGTCAGACCATATGCCAAGGCAATGTCATAAACAGATCTCCCCGCATGATTGGTTATACGTGAACCGCGCCATTCAGCATGGTGGGCGTTAAAATCGCCAAGGATCACGATCTCTGCGGATGGGACCTGTTGTAGCAAGGAATCTGTAGCCATTTGGACGTGGTCGATGAGTCGGTCTATTTCGGCATTACCGCTATGGGACCTATAGAGGCACCCGTAGACGCGCGGATGGTCGTCGCTATCTACGCGTAGCCAAAGGATGGACAGGTCCGAACCTTCAAGACTGCCGAGGCGTCGAGAACAGATGTCCTCTCTGACATACACGCAAACTCCAGCCCGAGGCACAAAGGAATGCTCCAATTTGTACCCCGGGTAGGAGAGATGCGAAATATCAGCCGGAGAGGAAACCTGCGTCTCGGTCAGAAAGAGCAAGGCCGGCTTCGCCGTCTCGAGATGGTAGTGGACGGCGTTTAGGTTAGAGTGAAGTCCCCTGATGTTGCAGAAATTCACGGATAGCGTGGCAGGGGTCGCCTTGGTGTTCTTGCTCAGTTTGCCCCTAGCAGTAATGCTTTTGAGCGGAATTTCGCCCCCCCCCCCCCCCAGAATACGCGGGGCAGCCTGAGCACCCACGCTCAGCATCGGAATAACATGGTCGTGGATGCTCAGCGAGGGATTCTCCAGGGGTACTGGTACCCTCCTGGGGTAGTTCATCGTGTAATTCCGCTACCATGTTGATGGGGGGGGAGGGGGAATTGGGACTCCGGCACCTGCACTTACCAGACGAAACGCAGAAGCAGAGCTTCTACTTCACGCCGGTATTCTGTCGTGGTAACAACCCGGCTCGAGCCGGCCCATACATGCAACAGCAAAAACTGCTGCGTGGCTCTACCATTAAAATTAAAGATGGCGCTATTATTACATTAAAACTATGAAAACCAAAACTATACTATCTAGTTATATCAGCGATAGAAGGTTGGGATGCGACTGGCTGAAGTTTTGTTAGTAACAGAAGGAAAAATACACTACTTTTTCCATTTGATGATAGATGACGCTGTTTTGAAAACTAAAACGTAGATAGTCAGCGTAGTTTAAAATTATTGCACAACGATTAAAACTAATTTTAAACTTTATTTATAAATACGGTATTGATGAGTTGGCGATACAAGCGAATATTTCGAAACGATACAACTGCGAACTAAAGTGATCAATAGTACAATTGTGTTTTGTTAATTAGTGTAGTTTTAAGCTGTAATTAATGTTCTGAAATTAAAGTATCAATTTTTGTAATTTACTCGGCAGTTTTTAATTGTTAGAACCCCAACCTCGTAACAATTGGTGTCAGAAGTGGGATCGAATCATGCCGATTTTACCAAAGGACGACACGGAGGGTAACCGTACCCGAAGTCAACGCCAGCAGGAGACCGATCAGTGACGATTTGGTGGTGCAACGCCGCAGACGTCGAAAGGCCAGCTGTTCACCACGGAGACCAGCCCGTCAGCAGCTCCTGCATCTGCAGTATCTGACTTAGGTACTCTAATGATGATGCTGCTGGAGTAGACTCGCCGACAGGAGGAACAGGCCCTTCGCTTGGAATAGCAGCTCAAACGTGATAAGGAAGAGCAGATGTTCCTCATGAAGGATCTTCTCGCAACCTTCGGGAAAGTGATGAGGGAGGTGAAGGATAGGGTAGCTCGCAATGACAACCGCCAGTCGGAAGCTGAAATCTGAATCGATCAAGTGAACAATTGGGTTGACGACGTGATAGCTGACGTGAAGAAAACGCTGGACGAACTCAAACTTGGGGATGGAATTACAGTTCCCGTGGTAGCTACAACACCTTCCCTACGTGGATTCAAAGTCTCGCCATTTGATGGGACTTCTTCTTGGTTCGCCTACAAAATTCAGTTCGAGGCTGTCATGAAAGCGAACGGCTGGAATAAAAGTCAGGCCATTACTGCTCTCACCCTAGGCCTGCGCAATCAGGCCTTAACTGTTCTGGAAGCTTTCGTTAAGGAAGTGACTTACGAGCAGCTCCTTGAATCGTTAAAGGCCAGGTATAGCGACGCTTACCTCGAACGCGTCTTTCGTGTGCAGCTCAAAGATTGCGTGCAACGCAGCAATGAAAACCTGCAGCAGTGGGTCTTTGAGGTGTAGAAGCTGATTCTAAAAGCATACCAGTCTGTACCTGCGCTCATTGAAGGAACCTGGTGCAGACATTTATGGACGGCATCCGCAACCTTGATATCAGATCTTAAGGACGCATTGGCCCATGCACTGGAGGTGGAAGCCGTGCGGCAGGATCATCATTCCTATCGCGCGAGGGAGGTTGCAGCAGCTACAGTTCGCAACCGCAATAAAGGATACAGGTGCTACGGCTGTGGAGAAAGGGGCCATCTTCTATCCAGCTGCCCTAAGCGAACTGTAGAAAGAGAAGGTGATCGATCTCTAGAGGGCAGTGTGGCTAACAGCACCACCCAGAAGAAACCAGTAAAAACCAGGACTGCGGGGCGGGTACTGGCTGATGTTAAAAGAGCCCCAAGATTTCGATCTCATACGCCCATGATGGGAACAGCCTAGTCATCAAGGGCGTGGTGCCAACGGAACACCGTGTAAACTGGCCATAGACACTGGAGCCTCTCGCACGGTTGTCAGTTTCCAACTTATAAGTCAGTTCCTTGGGGACTCCGCATACAACCGATAACGCATTAATTTGATGAAAGCCATACTCAGCGCATACTCGTCCGTAGAGAGAAGTAGATGGAGTTGAAGCTAGGCAACATGGTCTACCTGCCTAATGTTATCGTGGCTGATATAATGAACGACTGCATCCTGGTCCTAGACTTTATGAGGAAGAATTGTTGTGAGATAGACGTTAAGCAAGGTGTTTTGAAATGTGGACAAGACGAACTTTTTGTGGAAGGAGCATTATTAGGGAATGTGTACAGCCTTAAGAAGATTGTTCTTCCGCCGAGATCGGAAACGATTATGCCGGTTAGTCTTCCTCGGAATCCTGGGCAAGCTTATGGTTGTATACTCGTGGAAAGGGTAGACAATGACCATCCATGGAAAGTGGCTCGAACGTTGGTCAGAACCACCGACATCTCAGGAGTACGTGTGTTAAAACTTTGTGATAGAAGGCATACTGGCTGGTACTTGCGAGGAAGTGGATTGGTTGCGTCGGTGCTAATATCTATCGACTGGGAATCCCAGCAAGGATGCACAAATGAGAGTGACCAAACTTTTAGAAGACTGTCGCAGCATTCTCTCCCCGAATGAAATTGTCAAGGCGAAGAAATTGTTACTCAAGTACGCCGATGTTTTCTCACCAAACGATGCTGACATAGGGAAGACTGGCATAGTTTAACACAAAATAAACACAGGACAAGAATTGCCTATCCATCAGCGGCCAAGAAGATTGACAGTAGCACGTGAAAAGAAAGTGGAAACCATGATTGAGGGAATGGTGAAGAATGGTGTTATTAAACCTTCATAGTCCATGTTCTTCACCTGTAATGCTGATAAATAAGAAGGACGGCAGTATGCGGTTTTGTGTTGACTACCGCCGTCTGAACGACGTTACGAAGAAGGACGGCTATCCCTTGCCTTGATGACACGCTGGACATACTTGCAGGAGTAAAGTGGTTGGACCTGAAAAGTGGCTACTAGCAGATTGAAATTGACCCTAAGCACAAGGAGAAAACTGCATTCCCGACAGGAAATGGTCTGTGGCTATTTAAAGTTATGCCATTTGGATTGCGCAATGCTCCAGCAACGTTTAAACGGTTGATGGAGCTTGTACTTACCGGGCTAATTGGCGATGCCTGTCTGGTCTACTTGGATGACATCACCATCGTAGGCCGTACGTTTGAGGAACACCTTCAAAACCTGGAACGCGTGCTCATGAAGATCCAGAGTACCAACCTCAAGTTGAGTCCGAAGAAATGTTCACTATTCAATCAGCAAGTTAGCTTTTTGGGGTATTTAGTGTCGGAAGACGGTATCCGCATCAAGGATTTGCTGGTTCTTAAAGACAAGACGCAAGTTAAAGCATTTTTGGGTTTGTGTTATTATTATTGGAAATTGGTGAAGAACTTTGCAAATATTCAAAATATTCTAATATTCATATTCATTCATTCATATATCACATTCATATTTATTTAATATTCAGCCAAACCCCTGCACGAAGTAACCGAGAAGAAGCATCCATACATACATATCGCATTCCAAGAGCTCAAGGACAGTCTGTGCAAAACACCTATTTTGGGGTACCCTGATGCGGGCAAGGAATTTTAGTTGACACAAACGCAAATCGTAATTCAAAGTGACTGTACCACCACGAGACTTAACGACATCTTATAATTGAGTAGCGTTTGAGTATTTGGCTATTAATGTAGTAGGTATGGCAAAAATTGTATACAAATTGAGGTTTAGCTGTAGCTGTCCCGGTAAAATTAAGCTTAATTTACATTATCATATTGAATAAAACTATGTTTACGGATCTTATCGCGTTTAATTTACTTATTTTAATTCCCGACGTTTTGGGTGCTTTACAGCAACCCATAGTCACGGGTTGTTTGACGGGACTGAGATTTTTAACGTCCCGATGTCATAGTTATCCCGGCTACCACCGGCTCTGGGAAGTCTGCAGTCTGTGAACATGTTCAAGATCGTTCCCGCCATTACATCAGATTTGATAGACAACAAATCCTCCCAAAAAAAATACCGATTGCTACCCACGATTAGTGTTCGCGTAAATATAGGAAATCATTACATTATCTTATCTTAGGCTTTGTGATTTGCATGAATATGGCTAGCTATAGACAAGGTAGTGCAGCTTTTCTATCAGGCATTTATAACAAATTAATGTCTGACAAAAAAGCAATAATTTTAATAATAAGAACATCTTATATTTTCATTATTTCTTGAGAAAGACAAATACAAGCAAAATAATAATTAATTATAACTTAGTACATAAACGAAAAACGAAAAAAGTTTGAAGTCATATTCAACTGTGAACTTTTTTTTATTATGATTTGCTTTAATTACTTATTTAGTATTAAAAGAAACATCTAACTTCTCAGACTAAAACGCTTACTGTAGTACGTAGTAAAATATTAAAATAATTTCAAAAACAATTGGTAAATCCAATTGTACATTAAGGCATGCACAATTGGATTTACCAATAGTTTTAGTGCATTAAAAAATTACGTATAACATGGATATTCGCAAATTTTTAAAGTAGTTTAATTACACACAAGATTTCTCTAAAACCTTATAATTATTACTATACTTCCAATTTTACGATAATTTTATGTCAAATTTCTATTAAAAGAAGCTTGGAAAATCCAAAATTGCACGACTCATAAGATCGGCACTGTTCGGAGGTAAGGTCTCATCATAACTAACAAAACGAGGCCAAACTTGGCACACCTAGTTCTACTCTTTGAGTAGTTTCAGTAGCATTCACGGAAGTACACCTTCAGATTACTCCGTTAAGTCCGGGGTAAAGTCTCGTCATAACTAACATAACGAGCACAATCTTGAAACACCCAGTTCTACTCGTCGAGGAGTTCCAGTGGCACATACCGAAATACACCTTCAGGTTACTCCGTAAAGTTCGAGACGTATAACTATATTTATATATAAATCCTACGTACTTTTAGCGAAAGAAAGTATTGTGATAAAAATCTGTGATCATAAAAATAATAACCTTGGTCAAATATGTATCAAATTTGGTTTTAGGAATATTTTGTATTTCTACAGCGATCGATATATTTGCTGCCTATTAGCGTTGCTGTAAGCAAACGATACAGTAATCCACTCACGACGGCGGCCGAGCCCGCAGTGCGAGTGAGCCGTGAGGCAAAGAGTATTTAGTAAAATAAATTGTTACGAGGCTGTTCAAAACAACGAAAATTTTGGCATTTCTCAGCCGAAAAAAATTAATCATATCTAAACAAAACAAAATTAAACTGCCATTTACATTCCACGCCTACCCACATGATAGATGAAGATAAAAAAAATAGATTGAGTTAAACAATTGATATTTTCAAAAGTTATCGTATTTACCCCTCCATACGGACTTGATATATCTACTCCCTAAGCCACTGTAATCACTTTTTTATGTAAAAATAGTTCAAAAATCATTTATCTTTCTGACAATGTGCTTTTTATATCATTTGTATGTTCAATAAGATTGTTAGATAAGATTTCATGCAACAAAACGTTAAAATCTTGATTTTAGGCGCTAGTAGAATATACCAACGCGCTTTGCGCTTAAGGCATGCAATACAATAATTGTTATAAGGGTTAGTTCATATTTCATGCTCGTGACACACATGATTAAAATTAAAAACTCATTACGAATTTATAGCTATGCGTCTAAAACTTACCTACAATGGGTACCCTTGCTAGGCTGGCATTAGGTATATGTGGCCGTGAAAAGGAAAAGGGTAGTTTCCCACCGGGCAAGGTGTTTAACCCGGTGAGCGGCCAATGCTCCGAGTAGTAGTTCGGAGCTATTCTATACTGTTTTACTTCGGAACTTTGATAGCGTGATTTAGGCTTCGATGTGTTTCACTCGTTTCTATGTTTATGTATCATCGTTTTTAATGTAGGTTAGGTTAGGTATTTAGGCTGTAATAATATTCACTACCTCATATCATCCCGCGGGTGTTCTAAGAGGCGACAGAGGGAAACAAATCAGGAGATAGGAATCAGCGTCGTCCTAACAACTACTAAAAATAAAAACTATGTTTGCCAACCAGCTTGCCAAATGGCAAATATCCTACCTATGAGTCAATCTACGGGGTATTAGCATTGAACTTTAATATGCTGTAGCGGTAACGGTTTTTGAAATTATTCTTGAAATAATATGATTGTAACTTAATATTCGTTCCTTTTTTGGATCAATAATCTAGCGATTGAAAAGTGTTTATAAATATTGTGCTCTTATTAAGCAGGCTGGTAATATGAGCTAGTACATTCACCCTCCATAAACGCATAAAATATACTATTTTAATTACGTACTTTTATACCTTCTGTACAAAAGCAAATGTAACATAAAATTAACGAAAATCTTAATAGGTCTAAAGCTTTACAATTGAAAACGGTACATTCTTGGTGTGTTTTCTTTTCAGTCTTTCTCTTGACTTGACTGGCGCGCGTGACTTAACTTTCAAGTTACTTTTAGGAGTTGGGTCGAGAAAACAATAAAGCTAAAATTGTAATAAGAAAAATATTTTTTCTTTCATCAAAATATCGAAAAAGTTTCATTATTACTTGGAGGTACGTTTGTTAAGTAAAGTTCTTCAGTAAACGTAAAAACAAATAAAAGAAAATATACATATGTTACTGTAAAAGCCCATATTTGGGTAAATCTTAGGATTTACCAACATAAGCTGGTAAATGCAAGGTTTGGTATAAAATGAGACGATTTTTCAGGCTTTTACCATTAGAGTTTGGTACATTTTAGGTTTTACCAATGACTATTAGTAAATGATGGTTTTGGAAATAAAAAAATATAAGTAGAAGTAAAAGTAGTAGTGTTATCGACTAAATTTCAAAATACTTTTATGATGAGTTTTTAACATATAATACAGAAAAATATATTTGTTTTCTTCGCAAAAACATAATACCTACGTCGGCTAAGTTTACTATTCATTAATTTTACTTATGAGATTATTGTCAGTACAAATTTAATCTCTTATGGTATTGACTCTATAGTTACAAGAACTTCCTGCAATTGTCTCGTGATTTCTTTCTCCGAATCAATAACGCATTTTCTAATAAAATTATCATTAGCTGTTACATTAGAAACATCGGGTTTTTTCTTAGCCTTCACCTTCTTCGTAATAATCTCTTCTTGTATTTTATTCTTGGTAGCGTTCTTGGACAATAGAGAATTTCAATAGAGAGGGAGGCTGAGTACTACCACCTGCTTTTTACGTGGTAGAGCCATGCTGCAGCTATATTATGGTTGTAGCACGAATGGGTCGGCTCGACCGGGGAAGGACCACGCTCTCACAGAATACCAGCGTAAAATAGCAGCTTAACGCTGCTGTGTTTCGTATGGTGAGGGTAGAAAACCGGAGACCCTTTTTACTGGAATCGAGGCATTCCATCTTAGTCCTCACGGGTAACAACGCATCTGCATTTTGATTCTTAATCGAAGATAGATGTAGATGTCTATGGGCCACAGCAACCACTTACCATCAGGTGGACTGTGTGCTCGTTTGTCACCCTTATCCCATAAAAAAAACCTGCTTGGGATCCTGTAATAAATAAAATTAAAACTAAACCCAAGCATACCACTGCAAGACTTCAAGACACAGTAAGTTCATTCTACGTAGATCGGACCAAAATTAATAATTAAAAAGCTGAAGGTACTCCGGGTTAACTCTGACATCGGGACGTCAATCGCCTCAGTCCCCGTGACCATCGTTGCTGGAAAGCACCTGAAACATCGGGAATTAATAAAAATAATAAAAAATAAGTTAATTAAACGCGATAAAATCCGAAAAGGTAGTTTTATTCAATGTGTAGTGTTCGCGTAAATATAAGAAATCATTATCCAGTCATATCTTTAAGGATCGCTGAAGTTACGATGCCCATTTTCATTGGAAAACTAAACATTACTTCGTGCGAGGGTCTTTTGACTCTCTCATGATATGCTCTATTTTTCGTTGCCTGGCTGAATAAAGCCCTCTGAACATTTCAGCCTTTAATTTCTCTAAGCACTACACATTTACCCATATCGAGATAAAAGTTATTGCCTTTATTACTTGTCACAAGTTCGTCCAGTATTCCATAAAATCTTTGTTTCACACTTATTTTGTCTCATAAATACTTCTAGATAACAAAAACGTATGCACTAATCGACCGATTGTGTCGAGCAGAGAGAGAGGTGATACTGCACACTGTCCGATAAGGCGCCATACACTTTTAGACATGACTATTTTTCAACATTTTACGTGTCTTTCAGGTAAAACCTAAGATTTACTAATTTTATGGTAGTAAAAGTCCGAAATTAATGATTACCAGAGAAGAGTTCGGACTTTTACCATTATGACTTGGTAAATCCTAGGTTTTACTGGAAAGTCTTAGGATTTACCGTAGTTCGAGCTTTTACAGTAACACATACACTAAAATATTTTTTGGAACGAAGTTCTTTATCGGACGGTACGAATTTAGCGGATTAGGGGTAAGCGAGAAAAGTGTAAGATTTTTCCGTCACGACCCCGTCTAACGTAGTGAATAATACACATCTCCCTCGCACTCTTTCTCATCTTGCC